TGTTGGGATTTTTGCAATTTGTATATATTTTTCTTGAAGTATAGTAATAAATATTCTTGTGAATGGCAGCGGCTGGCTTAAAAGTCCTTCGTGACAACAATCTTATTCACAGAGATCTTAAGCCACAGGTTTTGATTCATAGTCCAATCTTTTGGTTATATCTCATTTTTCTAGTGCTGTTTAATAAACTCCATTTTTAAGTTCCATTGGGCAAACGTACATCAGCTAGCAAGATAACAACATCAAGCTAGCCATGTCGAATGTGCTTGATGGTTTTTCGATATTGAATAAGAGGACGAGTGATGTTTGTTATGGCCAAATGTCCAACATTGTATGTCAAAGTTTTGTTTCTTAATAAATATTCAGCGTGCTCTTAGATTTCTGATGGGCTGAGTATGCTGTTTAATTCTTCCATTTTTGTCGTGGCTTGTTTTTCTTTTGGGTAGAATCTCCTGCTTTCTACAAGTGGCGACAATTCAGTTTTGAAGATTGCTGATTTTGGATTTGCAAGGTAGAATGGATTCTCCCCGCATTTATCCTTTACAGATATATTGAATCTTTATTTTCATACCGTGAAATGGAATTATGCCATGTCTTTGTACTGCCCATATTTACATTCAGAAGAGCAACAGAAAGATAGTTGTGATATCTGTTATCGGTCTCACCAGAGAACTACTTCACTATTCATCAAGATAAAGATTCTAGCTTAAACTAATGTTGGTGCTTAAGTTTTTGATTGGTAATGAAAGTTTTTCCCCAATGGAACTTATTATTGCCATGTCAAATGATTCTCCTATAATCCCTTCGTTCAAGCTTTATATTCTCCAATTTGTTTTGCTAGATCTCTGCAACCTAGAGGTCTTGCAGAAACCTTGTGCGGCTCACCACTTTACATGGCTCCGGAGATCATGCAACTCCAGAAGTATGATGCCAAGGTAATGTCTGTATGCTTGCATACTTTTTGGAATTGTAATATGAAATCAAACTTCATTGTATTAACCTTGAACTGAATACGCAGGCAGATCTCTGGAGTGTTGGTGCTATATTATTTCAATTTGTAACAGGAAGAACTCCATTCACAGGAAACAACCAAATACAGGTACAGTTAGTGTTATATTTTCTTCTTTGTTTCATGCCTAGAGTGCTTTTTTATTATTCAAACACCATTGCCTAACCTACTATGTTTTTATTATGAATTTTCAGTTGCTCCAGAACATTGTCAAATCAACAGAATTACATTTCCCTTCAGATATTAATGACTTGAGTTTTGAATGCAAGGATCTGTGCAGGAAATTACTACGTCGAAATCCAGGTAGAGAACGTGCTTGAAAGCTTAATTCTTGAAATTTTTTTTGGGTGCATTGCCACATTTTGAGCTTTTCCATCTGAAGAATGAAGGAGTGCTTTAGTATGATGAACTAACTGTACCTTGATATCAGATGCCTCGATTTCTTCTTTAGCAACTTCTGACCTTCTGGTTCGCTATAAGTAGTATGTAAGAGGTGGAATTTAATTCAGCTTGATTGTATCTTAATTGGCAGTTAAAAATGGTTTCAGGTAAAGCTATTTGACAATATGAAATATCTGTCTTTCCGTACAAATGAAATAAAGTATGATGTGAAGGCTACGCTTATGTGCTCAAGTTGCTGGCCTGAATTCTCACTCTTCTATTGGCTGCAATACCTTCCAATTACCAGCTTTTTTGTATCCTAGTAAATCTTTCTTGACTTATGTTATATGGCAAGGGAATGTGCAATCTTCTTGAAATACCAGTTGCACGGGTGTTACTTTTATTTGTTTGTACATTGATCTGATGAAATTACATTCTTACATTTTGTATTACTTGCCAATGTTTATGCTAAGCTGCTATTAACTTTCGTAGGATTTCTTCTCATTTTCGTTCTTTTCTGTTCATTGTCATTTTATATGCAGTGGAGCGATTGACATTTGAAGAATTTTTTAATCACCCATTTCTGTGTGCTAATCAACCAGATGAATTGTTGGGGTAAATAAGCAAAGATTTCAGCTTTTGTCAATCAATGTTTGTGCTATCAAAATAATAGAATTTCAACCCATGTGCATACAGAAGTAAGAGGTCATCAAGATTAGTGGATGGATTTCCTTTTTCAAAATCTGATCATGCTGGTAGCATGGAGGAAAATTCACAAGATGATTATCTACCTTTCTCTCTAGACGATGATTCCAGTGGTCCTGAGGGAAGTCCGTCCTTTGTAAGGAGGAGGTCTTCAATGAAGTCTACTTGTGGATTTTCCCCTGATAAAAAGGTTGATAGAGGGACCAGAGATAGTACTTCCAGATACAGTAGCCTTCCAGATAAAAGGGAGATTACTACTCCCCTAGTGGATATTCGTGTTCAGGGAAGAAATATACTCTCTGATAGAAGTCTGAATGCCGGTTTAAGGTCTGCAAACCCACAATCAGTTAATACTCGGCCTAGAGGTATGAAGTATATTGTTTTCCATCGGCCTTTGGGATTTTGCTGTCTAGAACCAGAATGGTCTTACTATTGTATTTTTTCCCTTAAATTTTATTTCTGGAATCGTAGTTGCGGATTCACTGGAGTTGATTGATCAAGATTATGTTCTTGTATCTGGACCCTCTATGGATGATTATGCCTCATCTTCCTTAGCAAATGCTTCCAAGCCAATCCTTTCATCTTGCAAATCACAGAGTCCTACTCAAACATCCGTAAGTTTAGGTGCTGCATTGACTGCACCAATGCCTATCATTGGCAAAGCTACCAGTAGCAGCTCTCGTATGGGAAGCTTGGGAAGTCAAAGCTCTGCTCCGGGGTCATTGGATATGGAAGATACTTTGGAACAGCCATCTGCAAACTGCACGGCAAGAATCAAGTCATTGCAGCAGTCTGCATCTACTATTACAGAATTAGTAAAAGAGAAGGTAAGTCGATTTTCTGCTGGTAACAGCTAAATGCTTTATTTTACCATCCAGTAATAAAATCTGTGGGCTGTTTTCTTTTCTGTATGGAGGGTGGTGGGGAGAGAAATAAGATATCTGACTCTCTGAGATATATTATATTCGAGGCTCACAACGTCTTTGTTCGATACTTGAGATTCTATTAACATGACTAAGTTAAGATAAGCACATGACTCTGATACCGCTAATAGGAACAACGGACCTCCACGTTGGTATGATATTGTCCACTTTGAGCATAAGCTCTTATTACTTTACTTTTGGTTTTCCTAAAAGGGCTCATGCCAATAGAGATAGTGACTTTACTTCGGTACCTTGGATCTTCCCTTTAATTAACCAACCGAAGTGGGACTCCAATACAAAATTGTTACAAGTACAACATATCATATGATTCTCCCAGGTCTAGGTGTCTAACAAAAATTTCCATGTATAGTTTCTTACGTCAAGTGCCTCTGTTTCATTCTTATAATTCCATGCATGTTAGGTTTCGATGGTTAAAAGAATAGAAAGATATTATTCTGTTCCTTATTTATGATATGAGCAAAGTACTTTTATCCTTGCACTATTGTTGGATTAGTATTCAAATGCTTTTTTTTTTTTTTTTGGTCTTTGTTGGATGTCCCTATATGGCAGTTACCTTGTATTTTGTAATACTAAAATCTAGTTAAAAGGACTACATATGGCATAAGAAACTTACAGTGTCATATTTATTTTAAAAGATCACTGCCGGTAGACAGCTTGAAGCATTCTCAATTCAGCTTGTTATTCTTGCAATCTGGAAAAAAGCTCTGGACATATGCCACACACAGGCTGCTTCAGCTTTAGAGGGAAGTCCAGGCCAAGGCTCTGCAGAAAGTAGGAGAAGCCTCCGCAAGAAACAAGGAAGTTCTCTTGGGAAGGGAACTCCGCTTATGGTTGACTCACTTCAGCCAGTGGATATTTCCACTCAAGTTGAGAAGGAATTTCTTCGGGAAGTTGAATATGCTGAAGAACTTGCCAAGGTTGTTGAGCCCGGTAAGTTTTCGATTGTGAAATTTTCCAACTTATACCGAAAGAGTCGTGTAGGATTATTATTCATTTTCCAGCCTTTTTAGTTTGCTGATCTGAAGTTCGGACATGAAAATATCCATACCAAGCTAGAGAACACCCAAATTCAACTATAAAAGTGTGCTGCACAAGGCCCCATTCCTGAAATTGAAATGCCAACCCCAAAACCTAAAATAACCACATAACCATAAAAGTCAAGTCTTAAAAAAACAGAATACATATTGCCAAGCCGAGGATAGGTTACTGGCATAAAGCATGTGCCGTCAACCAAGAGGTTAGTCATTCAAATCTCTCACTCTCACTTGTTGAACTAAAACGAAACGCTGTAAGCGGCAGCCTTCCAGTGTGGAGATGCCAAGAGCAATGTGTGCCTTTTAGTACTAGTTGGAATATAATGGCGTAGATATGTTTGTGCAACAGTCTTGTCCCCGCATACTCGATTTGTCACCAATCTGTTACATTTTTTTTCTTTTTATTGATCTTAATATTGCAAGCATATACAATAGTTAGATCGGGAGAGAGAAGTTCTCCATTTGCTGATGCACGCATGGTTGCAGGTAATACCGAAATGCCAGATGCAATAGAGACAATGTTTCAATCCGCTCTAGCTTTTGGAAGGCATGGAGGCGTGAGTACTTATATTATTAGTTTCCTGATTTGCCTGAATTTGGTATCATCTGTATAGAACATCAAAAAAGCATTTCTACTATGATATCATCATCATGTTCCATGGGATATTGATTGACTGATTTCTGGATGTAATATGACGACTGGCACAGGTTGAGGAGCTCATGGGTGAAATGGAAAGTGCAGCTGGCTTGTATTCAAAAGCTGCACAATTGCTGGTTTTCCTTCTCGTAGAAGCACCATCCCTCATACTAAACCCGCCATTTTCTCTAACAAATTCTGACCGATACCGGTTGCGAAGCTACATCGACATTCTTAGTAACAGGCAAGGCTACTTGAGATCTCAACGGTTGGCTCTTTTGAAGAGCGAGAATCAACAAAGTCCTCCCTGAAATAAGAGGCCAATTTTTTGTTTTTGTATTATGTTCAGAAATGAGCAGTATGTAAAATCATTTCTTTGTACAGTGTAACTAACACTATTCTTTGAGTAATAGAGGGAAAGGCGTAAGTGGCTGTGAACCTTGGGGTGATTGGATCTCTGCGGGACTGTAACGCCGCAACGCTCTTTACTCTCTTGTATGAGCGCCATAAAGCATGGAGTTCGCATTCATTTCATCTCTCGCTCAAGTTGAACCAACTTTCAGTCCTCAGGTACATAACAATTTCAACAATTTTTATATATAATTTCAAGGGACAACTCTTGCATCATTTATTTTTTTAAAAAAAATATGTACGCTACCGTTCAAATATCTACCCTTGATGGTCAACCTAACAATGTTAAAACGTTTTTGTTAGAGAGAGATTTCTACACTTATAAAGGAATGCTTCGCTCCCATCGATATGGGATCTCCCAGGTATATATATTATATATGATTTTGTTCATATTAAAATGTTATTAATAAATTTTTTCAAGAATACAATTTACGGACGAAAAGTATGAAGTCTGAAATTGTATCGAGAATTTCAATTCCAACCACGGGGATTTGAATATTAATTCCTAGTTCATATTAAATCAAACATTCTAATTTTATTTATCATCTATTCATTATTCATTATTGACTTTGACTTTATGAATTATAATTTCGTTTATCATCCATTGGTTATGGAAGTCGAATCAATTTGTTATAGAAATTTTATTCCACATTTAATTTGTATCCCTTTCAAATGAAAATTTGACTATTTTTTAATATGAATCTCATTTAAAGGCATTATCGATACTTAGTATTAACATAAATATAATTCAATAAATTAATATATTATTCGAATTAAAAAAAATAGAAGTGGGTAATGGGTATTTCGAACAAGGGAAAGGCCATGAAATGTTCAAAGTCAAGAACCCTAATATTTATAATTTAAGTGAAGTGGGTGATAAATTAACTATCAGTATCAATAATGATGAAGCTCCATTGAAGATCCTTCCAAATGTGACATTTCTGGAAAAGGCAGCCATTTATGACCATTCATCGCCTAAGCTCTTGCCGTTTCCTTCCAGTTATTGACCCACAAAAATTCAATTCAATTCTCATTCTTATAAATTCCATTCCAAAACTTAGCTTCTGAAAACTCCTCAAGATGTTGATTTCTCTACTTCTTGCTTTCTTCTCTGCTTGGCCTCCTCCGCCGGTAATGGCGTTGCAGAGGCTGACTTCCGGCGACTACATGGCGGTGGACAACGCCAACCACTTCCTAATTTCCCCAAATGGAACCTTCTCTTCTGGGTTTTATCGCGTCGGCAACAACTCCTATTGTTACTCAATATGGTTCACTAATAGCTTCAATAAAACACTTGTATGGATGGCTAACAGAGACAAACCGGTGAACGGAGAGCAATCTCGATTAACCCTCAACGCCGATTCCAATTTGGTTTTGACCGACGCCGACGGCACTGTCGTTTGGTCCACCGACACAGTCTCCGACGGCGAAATCGAACTCCGATTACTCGAAACAGGAAATCTCGTAGTGATGAACCAATCCCAAAATTTCATTTGGCAAAGCTTTGATTTCCCTACTGATACTCTGCTTCCAGGGCAACGATTTCTCAAATCATCAACTTTGATATCAATGAGAACCCAAGGAACATATCTATCAGGCTTTCATTACTTCAAATTCAACGACGATAATGTGTTGAATCTCATTTATAATGGCCCTTCCCTCTCTAGTGTCTATTGGCCTTACACAATGGTTCTTGTCTTCGAAAATGGCCGAACTCCTTACAATAGCTCAAGAATTGCAATTCTAGACGAAATGGGTGGGTTTCAATCGAGTGATAGATTCAAATTTAACGCTACGGATTATGGGTTTGGTCCAAAAAGGAGATTAACGATGGATTATGATGGGATTTTGAGATTGTATAGCCTGGATGAAGCCACTGGAGCTTGGAAGATCACATGGGTTCCTGATGGGCGTGTTGATGCTTGTATGGTTCATGGGTTGTGTGGAGATTATGGCATTTGTGAATACAATCCATTTCCATCTTGTTCTTGTCCCCCTGGTTTTTACAGAGCCGATTCATCAGATTGGACTAAAGGGTGTAAGCCATTAATGAATTTGACGTGTGAGTCAATGTCCAAGGAAGTGGATTTCATTCAATTTCCTAACACGGATTACTTCGGCTATGATTGGAGTTACGCGCAGCACGTTTCCATTGAAGTGTGTAAGGATATTTGCCTTAGTAGCTGCGAGTGCTCTGGATTTGGCTATGCACTTGATGGCTCGGGGCAGTGTTATCCCAAAAGTGCTCTTCGAAATGGGTATCGAAAGCCGGATCTTGCGGTTACGATGTTCATGAAGGTGCCGGAGGCTATGGTGAGATCGACAGTGGAGGCATATTCTAATGAATTGAATTGCTCGATGGAAACAGAGCTTGTTATGAACACTCACATGGAAGGGGGGAAAGGTAGTAAATTTGAATACATGGGGCTGTTGATCGGTGTGGTGGTGGCTATTGGGGTGAGTGAGGTTGTGTTTGTCGGGTTTGGTTGGTGGTTCATTTTTCGTAAGAGGGTTCGTGAAGAATTGGTTAATATGGGTTATGTTGTCTTAGCTATGGGGTTTAAAAGATTTTCATACGATGAATTGAAGAGAGCTACCAAAAATTTCAAGCAAGAGATAGGTAAAGGTGGGTTTGGGACTGTTTACAAGGGCGAATTGGACGATGGAAGGATCGTGGGGGTGAAGAGATTAGAAGGCGTTTTACAAGGAGATGCAGAGTTCTGGGCAGAGGTGAGCATCATCGGAAAGATAAACCACAAGAACTTAGTGAAATTATGGGGTTTTTGCGCTGAAAAACACCACAAGATGTTAGTTTATGAGTATGTAAAAAATGGGTCATTGGACAAACACTTATTCTCATCTTCTTCGTTAAATTTGGATCAAAGATATGAAATCGCCGTTGGAACAGCAAAGGGTTTATCGTATTTACACGAAGAATGTCTTGAATGGATTCTTCATTGCGATATCAAGCCACAGAATATACTTCTTGACGAGGACTTGGAGGCCAAGGTTGCGGATTTTGGAATGTCGAAGCTTTTTCGAGAGATTAATGAAAGTGGGTTCTCAAAGGTGCGTGGGACGCGAGGCTATTTGGCTCCCGAGTGGATGATGAACCTTAAGATTGATGCGAAGGCGGATGTTTATAGCTATGGCGTCGTTCTTTTAGAGCTTCTTACCGGGAAGAATGCTTCTAGTTTTCGATCGTCGACCACCTGCGACGATGGCGGATGCGTGGATTTAGTGAAGTGGATAATGAAGAACGTTGAGGATGGTGAGGTTGGTAAGGTGGTGGATCCGAGATTGAATGTGGAGGAGGATCAAATGAAGAAGATGAAGGTGTTGCTCAAAGTGGGTCTTCAATGTGTTCGTGAAGATCGGAACTTGAGGCCTGTAATGAGTAGAATTGTTGAACTTCTTGCATGCTGTGAAGAACCAGAGGATTTGAATATTAGTTTCTAGTTAATTTTAATTATTTATCTTTTGATTACTGGGAGATTTAATATATATGTGAGAATGAGTACATTAATGAACCGAGATAATAAAAATTATCTTGAGAATGTGATGACTAAGGGAGGTTTAAAAAAATTGAAAAGTCACTACTTATACCAATAAGGTGTATGGGTGCACGCCTATATCTATTGGATATTATTCTATTGGCTTATGTGAGAACTAATGTCCGTGAGGAGAACGAAAAGTTAAAGCTTTTTCCTAGTATACGCGTAATGGGGAAGCCCAAAAACTTTAAGAAAAAGTCCAAATAGGATAGTATACGGATGAGTACCGGTTCTGCTGTGTAACTCTAAAAGATACGTTTTAATCTCATCGGGCAAGCCCAAAGATGGGTTTTCCAGAAGACAATATCTGCTACCGGTGGACTTGGGCCCTTACAGGAAAGGAGATGCGTTTTAAGCCCATCGAAAGATGAGTTTTCTCTCAAAGATGACAATATTTGCTCACGGTAGACTTGAGCCCTTACAGAAAAGGAGATGTGTTTTAAGTCCATCTGACAAATCTAAAAATGGGTCGATGGGCTTTTCCTAAAAGAGAACAGTATCGGTTGCATGAGAACAATATAGGAGATGACAAGTCTAAATATGGGTTGACGGGCCGAAGTGCATGAGTTAAACCGAGATAACTTGCTATCTACTCCAATGAAGTCTAATATTGCTTCTTCCCATCCGCCATTGACCCAAAAAGGAAGACTAAGTTGTTGCATGAATACATTCCAGAACGTCTAAACTGGTTCCAAAATCTCTTACAAAGGCCACCATTTTTGCAAGTTTTCGTGTTCAAAATTCTCCAAGCTCATAATGTTCGTCTCCGCCCTTCTATTTTACTTTCTTCTTTCACCGTCATCGGCTCCGGCTGAACCAACTCCACCACAACTCCAGAGGCTAACTCAGGGAGGATCCATATCCGTCGAAGACCAGACTCAATTCCTAACTTCCCCAGATGGAACCTTTTCATCTGGGTTTTACAAGGTCGGCAACAATTCCTTCTGCTATTCAATTTGGTTCGCAAAAAGCGCCGATAAAACTGTCGTTTGGATGGCAAACAGAGACAACCCAGTCAACGGACACCAATCCAAATTGATCCTCAAAGCCAACGGAAATCTGGTACTCACCGATGCAGATGGCTCCCTCACATGGTCTACAAACACAATCACTACAGAACAAGTTGAACTTCGGCTTCTTGAGAATGGAAATCTTGTGCTGATGAACCAAATCGGAGGGTTTATTTGGCAGAGCTTCGATTCCCCAACAGATACTCTGCTTCCACAGCAACAATTTCTCAAGAATTCCACTCTGGTTTCAATGAGAAGTCCAAGTACTTACCTATCTGGGTTCTATTTCTTGAAATTCAACGACGACAATGTTCTAAATCTCATTTATAATAGCCCTTCGCTCTCGAGTATCTACTGGCCTGATCCTGGTAGGAGTGTGTTTGATAATGGTCGAACTCGGTACAACAGCTCCAGAGTAGCAATTTTGAATGACATGGGAAGGTTTGAATCCACTGACAACTTGAATTTCAATGCTACGGATTATGGGTTTGGTCCGAAAAGGAGATTAACAATGGATTACGACGGAATTTTGAGATTGTATAGCCTTGTTGAATCAACCGGCACATGGAACATATCATGGCTTCCGATGGGTCAACTAGATGCTTGTTTGGTTCATGGGTTATGTGGAGAATTTGGAATTTGTTCATACAATCCATTCCCCACTTGCACATGTCCTCCTGGTTTCACTAGAAACGATGCTTCAGATTGGAGTAAAGGCTGCAAACCTTCTTTCAATCTGAGCTGTGATTCCCAGAATTTGGATTTCATGCAAGTTCCTCGTACGGATTATTATGGCTATGACTTGGTGGGTTACACCAGAGGTGTCTCTATTGAGACATGTAGGAATTCATGTCTCAAGAACTGTCAATGTTTGGGATTTGGATACTCAATGGAAGGATTTGGACAATGCTTTCCTAAAGGAGCTCTTCGTAATGGGAATTTAAAACCTGATAGCATTATTCTTATGCATATCAAGATTCCAAAAGAAAACAGAGTAGCAGAGATGAAAGAAGGAGATTTGAAATGCTCTGCTTCAGAACTGGTTCCAACCACACAAGTATATGCAGAAAACAAAGCTAAGTTTCGATACATGGGATTAATGATTGGATTTGTAGGTGTTGTTGGGTTCATTGAGTTCATTTTTATAGGATTTGGGTGGTGGAATGTGTTCCGGAAGCGAGTTAATGAAGAGTTGGTTAACATGGGTTACATTGTCTTAGCCATGGGATTCAAAAGATTCACATATGCAGAAATGAATCGGGCGACGAGAAACTTCAAGCAAGTGATCGGAAAAGGAGGGTTTGGAACCGTTTACAAAGGAGAATTGGACGACGGAAGGGCTGTGGCAGTGAAGAGACTGGAAGGCGTTTTACAAGGAGAAGCAGAGTTCTGGGCAGAGGTGAGCATCATCGGAAAGATAAACCACAAGAACTTAGTGAAATTGTGGGGTTTTTGCGCTGAGAAAAAGCACAAGATGTTAGTTTATGAGTTCGTGAAAAATGGGTCATTGGACAAATTGCTATTCTCGGATGCATCAGAAACATTAGGATTGGAGCAGAGGTACGAGATTGCTGTCGGGACAGCGAAGGGGTTATCATATTTGCATGAAGAATGTCTGGAATGGGTTCTTCACTGCGACGTGAAGCCTCAAAACATACTCCTTGACGAGGGTTTGGAGGCGAGAGTGGCTGATTTTGGAATGTCGAAGCTTTTTGGAGAGATTAAGGAAAGTGGATTCTCGAGGGTGAGAGGGACGAGAGGGTACTTAGCGCCAGAATGGATGACGGACCAGAAAATAGATGCGAAGGCTGATGTTTACAGCTTTGGCATCGTTTTGCTGGAGCTTGTGAGCGGCAAATGTGCGTCAAAATTCCAGGCTTCTTCAGCTGGTGGAGCACAGAGATACAGTAATCTTGTGGGGTGGATGATGGAGAGCGTAGAACAAGGGAAGATTGAAGATGTGATCGATTCAAGGCTTGCGGAGAGGCAGGATGGGCTGAAGATTGAGACGTTGGTAAGAGTTGGTTTACTATGTGTTAAGGAAGATCGAAATTTGAGGCCTCCGATGAGCAGAGTTGTAGAACTTCTTAGCTCTGGACTGTGAAATCTCACATTGGTTAGAACGGGAAGGACCCAGACCCCATGTCGTCCATTACTGGTGTGAGCTGCTGCGAGGTGCAACTCCCAACACAAACGCGAACCCAAGGAAAATAAACATCCCTTTCTGAGACTTCTGAGGCCACCAATCAAAGCGTCCAAAGCTTTGAAATAATGTTTAGATTAGACACAAAAAGTGAGTGTTTGTGAGAAGATATTTTAGTGTGACAACTGTATTGATTTAACTCCTGCTAATGCAAACAAAGTGTAAGAGAACAGAGAGCAAGCAGGGAAATATCATGATTTGGGTTTAAAGCACAGCCACGGGATTGATTACCCAAGTATCAAATAATACACTTGACTTCATTTCTCTGACATTGGGCTATAAATTTGCAGTGCTGGTTGGTATTGAAGATGTTGGAGGGCAAAGGTGTGGTCCGCGAAACAGACATGGCAGAGGTGATCCAGGGCCATGGCCTTGCCTTAGCTTATAAAGCACTTGATCAACACGAAGTTTCCGACTCTCAATCCATTGCACGTTTCATCAAACAGGTTCATATATTGCCTTAAATTTCACAACTCAACTCCTTTCCTTGCTTCATCATTCACAGTAACCACGTCAATAATTAAAATATGCTGTGTGTGGATGATGTTAATGAACTGCTAAATGCTCTGCTATGACTTTGAGGTTTCGATAATTAGAGGTTGGACGAAGCTTATGGGCCGGCATGGCAGTGTGTGGTGGGCAAAGCGTTTGGAGGCTGCATTACCCATTTATGTGGTACCTTCATCTTCTTCCATGTGGATACCATGGAGTTCCTCATCTTTAAAGATGCAACAGACTGCTTCAAAACCGTTCAACACACCCTTGGAGGACTTCCTCACAAACCTTAAATCTTTACACAAACATTTCTGCTACCACTTCTGTATAACTTTACCTATAACAACAGTTGAATAAAAAAATCATCTCCATCTTCATACAACACTAAAAACCAGAACCAAAACAGCATACGCACCTTGCAGGGGAGCTCATAATCTGCTTGTTAAACCCAACATTGCCCACAAGGAAGAGGTAATCTGCAACCCGAGGGCTAGACAAGAACAATATCTAAACCTCAGGATGCAGATTACCCTATCCTTGCCCAATAAATTCCAAGAGACCAAAACAAGGGGCAGAGAGTGGGTTGGGGAAGAAGGAGATTTGGTTTGAGAAAGAGATGATGTTCATATGCTAAATTCATGGGTATTTATAGCCTTAAAAATATATATATATATATATATATTCCAAAGCATATAAAAATTAAAATGGAAATTAATATGTTTTACAAAAAGCGTGCATAAAGGAGAAACACATGATAAGGTGCTGCAATACAATTATGAGTTTGTTCTGTTCTTCCCTTGCCAATTGCAAGATGGAACAAGCTTTCCTTCCCTTTTTTTTTGGGACACAGATTGTTCTTTCTTTGACCACTTTTTTTCCCTCACATTTTACCTTATTCATGAAAAAAAAAACAAATTATTCCACTCGGGTTCCAAGCCATTACAGTGTCCCACACATTGTGTGATGTCTCATATTGGTTGGGGAGGAGAATAAACCACTCTTTACAAGGGTGTGGAAACCTTCCTTGAGATTTTAAAGCCTTGAGGGGAAGCCCAAAAGGGAAAGCCTAAAGAGGACAATATCTAGCAGTGGATGATAAACATTAGGTTCCCACCGTCTTCATTATAAAGAGACCAAAATAAAGGCCCAATACATGGTCCCGCTCATTCCACTCTGTTTCTGTCAGGAAAACAGGGTAAGATCTCAATTCCATTCAGCTCAAGCTCCGAGAAGGAAGCTAATTAGAGGAAACCCATTTACAACCACAATGAATTTCGGCCTACGAAGTCATGTAACAGCTGAGTTCCAACAACATCTCTACCAAAATGTCCACCCATTACGTACCCAACACGGAAGCCGCCAATGCCATTGTTCTGGTGAAGGCCAAGAGTTAAGGAAACTCCGCCGTTGTTGTTGTTGCTCGCCATATGGGGATGGCTTGACAAGTTGTAACATATGTTAGAGGCCTCATCTTGAATTCCCAATGGTATGTCATGAGGTTCGTTTCGCGATGGAGGATGCGCGTTTCGATCTTCTTCTCTATGGCAATTCTTCTGTGTTTGCTTTGTTTCAAGATTGTATATTTCTTCAACCATTGGCTTCCAAAGCCTCACTCTTGCATTAATGAACCAGTTAGAGACCTGTGTCAAAGAGTACAACGATTATTATTATTATTATTATCGTATTGTCTTTTAGAGCAAATAATATTTAGAAATGACAAAGTAATGCGGACCTGACTACGAGACAGACCAGTCTGTTTAGCCAACATAAGCTTGTCGGTATCAGAAGGATAACTGTCCCAAACAGACAACAATACCAAACAAAATCCTCAATAACCAAAACATTTAACCCATTACTCTCATGCTTGGATCAAAATACTATGGTTATATGGATTATATGGTTGGGGGGGTCTTACGGATGCAAAAAATGATCGAACAACCAACCACGAAGAACCGTCACTGCTTGTTCAGGTAGTCCTCGTTGCGGTCGCCAAACAGGCTGAAGGTCAAGAAATCCCGGGTTTTGAACCGATCTTTGACTGTAGTCACCACCATGAGTCCTTTTATTGAATTTAAGTTGTTCAAGAATTCCATTTTTCAAGCTTTGGAAATGCTTGTACATGGCTTTAATAGCTTGGTTGGCATAGGGCGCTGCATTCCCGAGCCCGGAGATGTACTCGAACGATGTCATCACTTCCTGGATTTGTTGATAGTATTGCTTATACTTACGATAAACCTAGATCATGACCACGAACAAAACAGAAGTCACTCCATGAAAATAACGACCAACAAGAGGAACGAAACATTCCTAATAAGGGTGTGGAAACCTCTCCAAACGCATTGTAACAATCCAAGGTTTTTCCTTTCGGGCTTCCCGACGTGTCTCTTAGGAAAAGATTTCCAGACCCTTGTAAAGAATGCTCCGTTCTCTCCTCCCAACATATGTGGGATCTCACACGCTCATAAACAGAAAATACACAATGAATTACCCCCACAAAAAACCCAATAATAATATACTCCAAACATTATGTTCATAGTATTTGAAAAAGAAAAGGAATATATTTATGTTCATACACCTTTATGGAAGAAAAGTAAAAATGTTTAGAGAAAATGGATTCCTTCAATCACTTTGATTAAGCACATTATGCCCAGACATGGTAAAAAAAAAAAGATATCCATAAGAGAAGAACTTCATGCAAGGGGTACTACTAACTAAGTCAGACACACTTTAGAAGGCCAATACTCATTTATGCATATATTCCCTGTAATCACCTTTTCAAAAAGAGAAGAAATCATGTGAGATGAAGCTGCTACATCAATCCTTTAAGAACAGACACGAATCTAATGCATATATAACTAAAGCAGAGGATAGATTAGATATAACATTATTAGGAATAACTCATCCCCTAATCAAAGGATTCATTTTAATTTCCCCTAATTTCTTATTCCCAAGAACATGCAAAGAGTGCTAATTGGGGTCCATGATGGATTATAATGATCCTAAATGCCATCATTTCAATGTAAAATCTAATTAGAAAATTACCCATAAACAGGAAGTAATTAAAAATTAAATCAAAACCCAAAACCCAATGTAAGTTGGGATCCAATTTTCACAAACTTCAAGTCAATATGGTTAAGAAAAATGTTGAATGATACCTCGTCGAGCATGGAAACAAGGGTAGATTTATTAAAAGTAAAGGAATGATGAACAACTCCACAGTCACTCAAACTGTCGGAAGTGGCCGAAGAGGATTGAGTCCGTCGAAGGCCAACAACATCACAGAGCTCCTCCAACAACTGCTGGGCAGGCTCCAAAAACCTCGACCCTTTCAAAATAGAAGCGTACCCAGTGAAAGGTCCAAGAGGAACATTAACAGTACTCAGATAGGGCTGAGAGGAGAGAGATAAAGAGAGGGGTCCGGGCTTGAAGGCGGCGTAGCAATGGTTTAACAGAACAGGGTTGTTGGAATCGGGCAAGAGGGACGAGGGAATTTGTGTGTCGAAGAAGGGGTGGTGGAATTGGAAAAGAGGATTGTTGGCGGCGGCGGCGGCGGCGGTAGAGAGGATGTCGGAGGAGGAAATTAATGAGGGGTCGTAAAAAGGGAGGAAAGAGGAGCGGTCGAGTTGTTCTCGGAGCTTATCACGGCGGCTCTGTTGAGGGACATGGTCGAAGGATTCAATGCCGTCAGCCATGAAAAGAGAAGAGAACAAATTATTCGTCGGGTTCGAATTGCATTTCTGGGTTGTGTTGGGTTAAGGAGATAGGGTTTGGGAAACCACCGGAGGGAAACCGGGTAAAGCCGGTAGTGAATGAACCAACCTGCGTGGCAGATGTTTCTGACTTGGGTTTAATGTTTTTTTTTTTCTTTTTTTTTCCATAATTATAAATTAATTAATTTAAAGTTCCTACTGAGTACTCCATAGACTCCTTTACACCTTCGTGGTCATACAGGGTTCATATATGTGCACATAGACCTGTCAAATGGACTCGTATACATACCTTTGAACCTGACTTAATCGAGCCGAACGCATTAACACCGTTAGTCGGTCACGGTCATTCTTCCTTTTTTTTAATTATTATTATCATTTTCAATTAATAAATATTAGGGTTTTGCAAATAGATACTTATGATTGCGAATCTGAATCTGAGTCAGATTTTTTATTTTTAGTATGAAAATCTTTTGCTTGCGGGGGACGGAACGGAACGGTGTTACAGTTTAAACTTCACTTACCATCCAACTGACGTAAGCACCCACTTTTAATATCATCAATTTTCCATTTAATTAAATAACGGAAATTTTATAATATATATTATATAAACGTGAAATTACATGCATGTCCATTAATTTACAAATACACAAATATTTAAAAAGAAAAAGAAACTATAAAAGCTGCTAATTATTTTTCAAACCGCTGAAGTTGCGCCTCCGGCTTTGCCGTCGCCGTCAAAGCAATCAGCCACCGTGGTCCTCTGCACGGATTTATACGCATAATGGCGAGCAAACAACACAAAAAAACACAGATTAACGGCCACAATTCCTGCAATTAGCCAATAGAAATGATCCAAACGGCTGCTGTTCAAATTGTCCCCAAACCAACTCTTCCCGCCGCTACTCTTACCGGTGATCCGATCCACCGCCGTGATCAACAAGCTGCTGACGAAATTAGCAACCCCATTAACACTCAAATAAAATGCTATCCCAAGGCTCCTCATGGAATCAGGAACTTGATCATAAAAGTACTCTTGCAGCCCCACCAATGCAAACCCATCTGCAATTCCAATGATTAAAAACTGCGGCCCCAGCCAGAACACGCTCATCGCTCCCGACCCTTTTGTTGGGCTGCCTTTTACTACGCCGAGTCGTTTTCGCTCGACCAGGCCGGCCACCGACATCGCCATGAACGAGAAGATCATTCCGATTCCGATCCTTTGGAGAATGGTTATGCCTCGCTCGTTGTCTGTTGTTTTGCGGAGGATCGGAACGAGTAGCCTGTCGTAGATGGCGACGGAGATGATCATGCCGACAGCAGCCAGACAGAACATGGAGGATGCTGGGATGATAAAGCTGTCGCCGATCTTTCTGTCGAGTGTTGCGCATTGTTTAATGAAGAATGTGTAAGTTTGCGCCACGCAGATTCCAAAGGGTAAGGAAGCTATCCAAATTGGGATCATGTTTAGAACAAGCTTCAATTCCTCAACTCTTGTGACTGTTGCAAGCCTCCATGGACTCTGTTTTCCAGCTGAATTGCTCGTCTCCCCCGCGATCGCAGCTTTGTCCAAAAATCTGTACATTTTCAACTACTTCATTATAACTTCCTCAAAATTAGGAATTTTCTGAGCAAGACTCTCCACAATGGTATGTAAATCTATCTATGATCATTCCCTTAACTTAGTCATATAGTATAGTTTGTTCAAGAGGAAGATGGTTGGAAGGGAGTCAAATATTGATTAATTTAGGGAATGATCCTAACTTTTTGGAAAACCCAAAACAAAGCTATTAGAGCTTATGCGAACTGATACAGAGATATAGTCTTACCTGAGCCTGTTTGTGTGAGTCAAGAGCCTCCCATGAACTTTGTCTGTAGCTTGAACTTCATAGAGATGAGCAGAATTTGAGGGATAAGGCAAGTTTCTCCTTGTAAAAGCAGCCACTAAAACCTGCAACAGAGGAGTTAAAGGGCTTCCTAATGGCGCCCTGTACCGATAAACCGGCCTTCCAACAAGGAAGATTGCAAGCGATGTTGCCATAACCGACGTGAGAATCACACCAGCCATGCCCCAGCCGACATGTTCTTGAACATACACAATTAACGTCACTCCAAATATGACACCAGCACAGAGCCCAGAGTTCCACCAATTGAAAAACGACATCTTTTGCTTTCTTTCCTCTGCATGATCGTCATCAAACTGGTCGGCGCCAAAGCTCTCAAGAGATGGTTTGTGCCCACCAGTTCCAACGGAGATTAAGTAAATCGCCGTGAAGAACAAGACTTCATGGAGCTTCCTTGGCTCATCGCAGGGCTCACTACCGCAGGCCTTCAAGCTTGGTACAAGAGTGGACAATGTCAGCAGAGACAGCCCCTGCATTTTACACACCCACATGACAAAAAATCTTAACCAAAACGATAAATTGAATGAAACCCAGAAGTGAAAAAGGATTATTACGAAGAGGTAGACGACAGTGGAAGCGAGGACAGTGGAGAAACGACCCAAATAAGCATCGGCCAAGAAGCCGCCAAGCAGAGGCATCAAAGTGGTGACGCCAGTCCAATAATTAACATTCCTAGCCGCTGTTTTGAGGTCTTGTCGGATGACCCTGGTGAGATATATAACCAAACTAGTGGCTATTCCAAAGTAACTCAGCCTCTCACTGAACTCAATGGCTGCAACCAAAAAGACGAAGAATAATGGAACATTGTTCATAAAGTTAAGAACAAGAGCCATAGTAGCTTTAGCTTATACTTTTCATGTGATTGAACTCGTGTGGTCGGGACTTTATGTTATGACAGCCACATTAAAGAAAAGAAACATGATTCTCCTCTCTCTCTCTCTCTCTCTCTCTCTCTCTCTTCGTCTCAAGAGAAGCAAAAAGATAATGAATGAAAAGGCAGAGCTTTGAACTAAAACAATGGAGATTATAAATTGGTTACCGATGATGAAGAGGGAAGCTTTCCAGACGCCGGTGGAAGCTCTGAGAGGAAGCCTTCGTTTATGATCAACAGAAGAATCATGAACCAAAATTTGATCGTCTCCGCTGTTTTCCGCCTCTGTTTTCATGTTCTTGAGACAGGGGAATATAATAAAGGAGATTGTTTGAATGTTGTGTGAGGGAATTGGAATGAAAAAGGATTGGGTCTGGAGTTCCTTATATAGGCTCTCTCAAATTTGTACTCTCACACCTCTCAAGTAGGAAAGGGAATATTGTTTAAAATTCAGACAATATCTATTGGGGGTAGACTTTGTCTCCTACAAATGGTATCCGAGGCAGACATTAAGAAGTGTGTCAACAATGACGCAAAGTTTCCAAATAATTAGCTCTTAGACGATGTGTCAAGGAGAATGGAACAAGTGTGAAAACCTCTCTCTAGCAAACGCGTTTTAAAATCGTGAAGCTGACGGGCTATACATACTAGGCTAAAACGAACAATATCTCTAGTATTTTAGCCTATAAACATATTAAAATCATGCAAGATTATTCCGAGATACCATAGATGAATAAAATAATAAAACAAGAGAATTTAAAGTGTATTTTTTTTTTCTTATAAAAAGGTTTAGATTTTTCAAAAGTAAAAAAAAAATTGGGACCAAAACAAAAATGGGAATTCTAAAAGTTATTCTTCAATGGATTATTTTTTTTAGTTTGTAGCTAAATATAATTAGAAAAATGAGTTTTAATGGATTAAAAAAATACAAATTATATTCCATACAAGAATCACATCACCCTTTTCCTAATAATATTCTTCTCTATAATATTTTATAAATATATATATATATTGTTTTGTAATTCAATTATCATGCTTCCGTAATTAATAAAATAATAAATAATCAATTTTAAGAAAAGTATTCAGATTTGAAGTCTTAATTAATAATAATTAAGATTATTCTTAATCACTCAATTAGCTTACTAAATTCAGGATCATTCACTTTGCAACTGAATTTAAATGATTAAAAATGTTTTTTTTTTCTTAAAAGAATCTAAAATGTTTTGGGAAAAAAACACGTTCCTGTATAATCATTTCCTTTTCTTTTAGATTATATAAAATAAAATAAAATAAAATAAAGAAGATATATAATAGATTGTGATTGGATTTATTTACTTTACAAAAATCTTAAAAGATCGATTTAAATTACAAAATTACCCTCAACCTAAAGCGTTAATATTATACCACTGTGAGTGATGTAGGGGTCTGGCAGTCACTCCCCTAATGTTTCATTCATATAGCATCTAAATTTAATTCTATTTAATATTTAATTTTGTGGGTTTAAAATATATTATCAAACTCGTTTTAATTATGGTTTAAATTGAAATTTATTTTGAACAAAATTACAATTTATTCATGGCAGCTAATGATGATTGTGAAGACAATAAAAATCACATTACATCACTGCAACATGACCACTTTAGCTACGTGTAAGTCCTCACTCGTATGTTTTCTAGGAAAATTCTTAAGAAGTTACCCATTGTATGGTTTACTTAAGATAAGCGTGTTGAATTTCAGAATTTTTATAAAACTTGTAAAAAGCCCACCAGTAGCAAATATTGTCCACTTTAGTAAACATTCTCGCTAACACACAACTCAAACTCACTAATAGTAAATATTGTCTACTTTAACTCATTGCATATCATAATCAACTTCACGAATGCATTAAATAGAGAGATGTTTCTACATGTAAAAGGCAAGTTGGCATATGGTCGATATAAATGAAGGCATTTTGAGTGGAAAATAAAGGTTATTGAATGCTTAAATCTGGATCAAACCATCATGTTTTGAAAAGTTTGGTTGCACTTTGGTAATACACATCCATCCATGAGTTTGATACCATACACAACAACGTCGGCATCCCAACTTGGAATGCATCCAATAACAAAAGAAAAAAGGGTTACATAGTTGATGAGTGTTGCAATAGAACACAGAATGAATCAAATTAAGGCATGTGAATTTAATGTCTCAATTTCCATCTTTATATTATATTAAAAGAAGAGAAAAGTAAACCCATTTTCCCAAACTGAGTGGGAGCTCCATAATATATATACACACACACATACACTCATTATTATCTCCGACATTATTATTATTATTATTATTATTATTCTCGATCAATTAGAACC